GCTCTGCCCAGCTGCTGTGTGAACTTCCTTATGCTTTTGTTTATCTAGATACAGTTGGAACTGCCTCTGTAATGGTGGACTGCTTCAGTAATGGCTGGCTGCCTTGTTAGCGGTGGACTGCCTCAGTAATGGCCGACGCCCTTTCCCTCACTGAGCTGGACCATCCCGGGTCTAGCTGCACTTGCCACAAAACTCTCAGTCCAAAGTGCTTCACATTGCCCGTCTTTATAGGGGTGGGAATCATTGAGCCAGATCACTTGGCTTCCTGTTTCAGCCCCTTTTTTTCAGTTGAATGAGCAACTCTGTATTCCAGGCTTTTCAGGAGTCTGTTGAAATGCCTGCCCGGATTTGTGTTAGTTTTTGTGCAGAGACCCGCAGCGCCAGCTGAAACAGCCATGCTGGAAAATCGTTGCACTTTTAGCCTGGGACTCTCCTGGTCTGTGGACAGTAAAAACTCATTTGGATATGCAGTGACCACTCACCCTTTGCATTCTTCTTGCTGGGGACTGCAATCCAGAGCTGTTCCTATTCAGCCATCTTGGATCTCTTCCCCAGGTTTTTGAATTTTAGCCATTCTAGTAGGTATGTAGTGGTATATCATTATGTTTTAATTTGCAGTTGTCTAATGATAAATGATTTTGAGCATCTTTTTATATACTTATTTGCTATCTGTATATTTTTATTATTACTCAAATATCTATTCAGATCTTTTGCTTACTTCTTATTTGTTTCTTATTGTTGCTACAGTTGCATATTAGTTTGAAGGGTACTTTGTATATTTTAGATAACAGTCCTTTATCGGATGTATGTATGCCAATATTATCACTCAGTCTGTGGCTTGCTTTTTCATTTTTTTGTGTGTTTCAAAGAGAAGACATTTTTAATTTTAATAGAGCCCCACATTTTTCTCTTATCGATGATGTTTTTGTTTTCCATTTAAAATTTATTTGCCAAACCTCCAAATCTAGATTTTCTTCTTGAAAATCACCAAATGGGCAATGTGGATGTCACTGGTGACCTAGAGAGGGGTAAATTTGGTGAAGTTCAGCATAAAAGACACAGTGGAGTGGGTTTAAGAGAGGACAGGAGGAGAATAATTGGAGACAGTAGGTGAACACGATGCTTTCGAGACATTATGCTAGGAAAGTGTGATATTGTACTTTAAAATAAGAGGTACACATACTGATCTTCATCCCTAGTTCCTGAAACAGAGCTCCTAATCCCTTGGAATTATCTGGGTGATAGCTGTGTTAGGCCATTCTTGAATCGCTACAAAGAAATACCTAAAACTGGTTAATTAATAAAGAAAAGAGAAATAATTGGCTCAGTGTTCTGCAGGCTGTAGAAGCATGGTGCAAGCATCTGCTTGGCATCTGGGGAGGACTCGGAGTTTTTCTCATGGTAGAAGACAAGGCAGGAACTTGAATGTCACATGGTGAGAGCAAGAGCGAGCGAGCGAGCGAGTGGGGGGGGGTCGAGGGGGAGAGGCCACACACTTCAAACAACCAGATCTCATGGGAACTCACTCATTATCACAAGGACAACACCAAGCCATGAGGGATCTGCCTCCACGATCCAATCACCTTCCACCAGGCACCACCTCCAATACTGGGGATTATATTTTAGCATGAAATTTAGAGGGGACACATATCCAAACTATATCAATAGAAGTGTGTTATTTTTTTCTAATGAGGTGACTCTTCACGAGCTTCTGAATGGGAGTTGGTCACAAGAAAGATCAGGCCATGATTAGATGCCTGGAACTGTCAGCGTCATTGCCATCCTCTGGGAAGGAGAGAGGAGCAGGGGTCTCTTCTCCAGCTTGATTTTGCCTATGTGATAAAGCCTCCGCAAAAATCCCTAACCCATTGGGTTTAGAGAGCTTCCAGATTGCTGGACATGGGGTGCCTGGAGAGCCGTGTACTTGGAAAGGGCACGGAAGTGCTGTGCCCCTTCTCTCAGACCTTGTGCTGTGTATCTTTTCCATCTGGCTGTTCTTAACTTATATCTTTTTAATGAATGGCTGATCGATTAAGTAAATGTTTTCCCTAAATTCTGTGAGACACTGTAGCAAATGGCTGAACTCAAGAAGGGAGTATCTAAGAACTTCTGGCTTGTAGCCAACGTGGCCAAAAGTTGTAAAAAATCTGTGGACCTAGGGCTTGTAACTGGTGTCTGAAGTGGAGGGAAGTCTTCTGGGACTAAACACTTAGCCTGCGGGATCTGGTGCCATCTCCAGATAGATAGTGTCAGAATGTAGTTAGTGTACAAGAAACACAGTTGTTTTCTGCAGGAGAACTGGATTAACAAGTGGGGAAAAATCACACATGTCTGGTGTCAGAAGTGAAGTATTGAGAGCATTGATAGTATAGTGGAAGTTTTCTTTTTTCTTCCTATTATACAGAAAGTAAAGCAACAGAGAGAGAAAGCATACAGATGAAGGAAAATTTCCTAGATTTTTTGTAATGTCGAAGGAATATTTATGCATTTGTATGCTAATAAACTAGTAGAGAAAATACATGTTGATACAGGAGAGACAGAAGAGAATTGCCATAATGATGTCCTTGAATAGGAAAGAATGGAGGGAATCCAGTGTTCATGTGGATGGCCTGATTTAGATGGTTGCAGGGCAGTTCATTTCTAGCAACAAAAAGTCAAAGCATGTGCATGTAGATGCAAGTAGGGATCTGGAAGTTCTCTTCTAATTCTTCCAATTTTATCAGTAAAATGGTACTCAAAACAACTGAAAGGACTTTGGGATGATTAATGGATCAATTAATGAATAGTATGGCATGTGGTGATAATATAGATCTTCAAAGATTAGTTCAGGCTGAATCAGTTCTCTAGCCAGTGCCTGGACATGACGGAAATGAGAGTAGTGTGACATGGATAGAAATAATTGAGTCTAAATTGTGCTAGGAGGATACTAGTAAGAACTAGTCAGGGCTTCATGGCCCTAATTAGGAAAACTGTGGGCTGGGCGTGGTGGCTCATGCCTGTAATCCCAGCACTTTGGGAGGCCAAGGCAGGCAGATCACAAGGTCAGGTATTCGAGACCAGCCTGGCCAACATGGCATAACCTTGTCTCTACAAAAAATACAAAAAAAAAAATTAGCCTGGCTTGGTGGCACACACCTGTAATCCCAGCTACTCGGGATGCTGAAGCAGGAGAATTGCTTGAACGCAGGAGGCAGAGGTTGCAGTGAGCTGAGTTCGCGCCATTGCACTCCAGCATGGGTGACACAGTAAGACTCTATCTTGGTGGGGAAGGGGGAGAAAACTGGGGTTCAGGGTAGGCACTGTTTTCAGTAGTGTATAAAACCTGAAAAACACTCAGAAAATCAAGGCAAAGTCATGAGGAAGAACTGAATAAAAAAGAATGATTCAGTTTGGCACCCACTCAAGGGATAGCTAGATCCCAGCAGAAACACTACCTCTGATCCCACTACTAATATTTTGCTCAAGGGCTGGGCGGGGTGAACTGGCATGAGGAAGTTCTTTGTTGCTTAGAGCTTAAGACTGTTGGGATAAACAGAAAATTATAGAACTCAGTTTATTTTTTCCAGTTCTATCTACATAATGCCAAATGGTGAAATCCTATCAATTATGTTAATATGTTTTGTCCACAGAAGCATGTAAATTAAAGCAAGTAGCTGAATATCGGGCTCATTGCAACATGTTTTCTGACATCTCAAAACTGTAATTTCTAAGTGTTAGTAGAATGTTGAGATAATGTGTTCCTTTCAAACAATCCAAATGTTTATGTAGGTTGTAACATGTTATTCCATGAGGCAGATAGCATTATCTTAGATGAGAAAGCTGTGTGATAGAGATGCAAAATATCCAAGCTCACAAAGTGGTAAGTGGCAGATTCAAAACCCAATTCTGATTTTAATTCAGTGAACACTTATTAAGTTGCTGGGTGTCAGATATTCTGCTAGGTGGTTTGTTTTGGCCTTATTTCTAGACTGATGCTCTTTCTAAAAAAAGAGATTGTCTTAGTTCAGGCTGTTATAACAAAGTACCATAAACTGGGTGGCTTATAAACAAAATTAATTTCTCACAGTGTTGGAGGCTGAAAGTCTGAGATCAAGGTTGCACCATCATAGGTTCTGGTGAGGGTCATCTTTTAGGTTACACACCGCAGACTTCTCACTGTATCCTCACGTGGTAGAAAGAGGGCCAGAGAAGTCTCTGGGGTTCTACTTCTAAAGACAATAATGCCATTTATGAGAGCTTCACTCTCATTCCCTAATCACCCCTCAAAATCCCTACCACTTAATACCATCGCCTTGGGGATTAGGATTTCAACATATGCATTTTAGGGAGACACATTTCATCCATTGCAAAGATCATCTTGAGAAAGTTTCCATCACTGAAATGACTATTTTTTTTCTTTATGCTAAATAGTATGAAGTAATAAATGTTTTTTCTTTATGCTAAATAATATGAAGTAATACATCTTTATGAAAATAATGTGATTTCAACTTAGATTTGCAAATATTTCTACAAGGATGGGCTATAACTATTCCTGCAGAATTCCAATGTCATGTCTAATTTTTTTGTTTGTTTTTTTAAAATGCTGTCTTCTGCAAGTCTTTTATACAATGAAGACTATTTTCAACTTGTTTGTCAATTAAAAATACCTTGGTGTTATTGGTAGTAAGGCAATTAATACCAGTGAATTCATATTCTGTCATTTCTTCCAGGAGTAGTCTATTTTTGATGGCAGGCTAGTGTGTATAACAGAAAAAAAGAGGCAGTTAGAAAACAGTACCACTTTTGCACCTGCATCCATCTAGTAGGCACGTTTTCACAGCTACTTTAAACAAGTGTTGGGATAAAATGGTGCACTTTGTCATCACTATGCCAGGGCAAGTAATCAGATTCAAGAAAGAGATTTATGCTTAAGAAATCTGTCAATAAGTTGACAAAGTTGATTTCTATAAAGCTAATGGGATTGACCATTTAAGTGCTTGCTTGGGGGACAATTATGAAGACAAAACTTCTAACAGTGTCGTGGCAGTGCTGGCTAAAGCCTCAATTATTTACTGTACTTGTATTTAAAGATCGATATTCCTTTAAGTTTTATAGTTTGGAGCCAGGATAGGACTTTAAGTCTCTGAATTACACTGCCATCTAGACAAGGTTGTTTTTAATAATGTGCATGACTATTTGGAAATTCCATCCTGTTGTGTGAAACTTGGCATAGGTGATAACAAAATATATATATAAAAGGCCTTTCGTTAGGAAACACGAGGTTAGAAATTGCTACGCTTGTTGTATTTGCAGTGTATTGATTGAGTTCTCTGAGTTTCCTGAACTTGTTGCATTTCCGAAACCTGAGTGTGATGCAGGTACTGCATAGTTACTTTAATAAAGAGCTAACACATTCGAGTAAAATCCTAAAGAAACTGTTGGAAACTCTTAAAAGTTGATTTTCAGTTATAAATCCTAAACAAACCAGAATTGAATGGCCAACTGATTTCACTGCTAAAGATGATACGTTTAATGGGTTTTTAAAAATGTTCTTTTCCTGTAGCTTCCCTTAGTACTTCTACCTAATTTCCTTAAATATTTATCCTCTTTAATATTCATTTTACTCATTTTTGGAATAAATAATATGTTTCAAAAATCAACATAATATAAAGACGTTTACATTGAGAAGTTTTGCTCCTACCTGTTTATTTCTGTCTCCTGTAAGTAACCATTTTTTCTTTGTGTGTGTGTATTTGTTTATCCTTTCAGTGTTCTTTATGCAAATACAATGAAATTTCAATATGGATGTCTATTTTCTCATCTGCTTACTTAGGCTGACCTGAATTGAATTTTTCACTGAATCTGATCTTGGAGGTTTTTCCATGTCAGTATTTAGAGAGCTTCGTTTTAAATAGTTGTTTAGTATTCCATTGTGTGAGTGTAGCATAATTTTCCTAATTCATGAACATTTGAGTTGTTTCCAATTTTTGCCCTTACAATGTTGCAATAAATAACTGTTTTGCATTGTGCAAGTAAATTTGTAAGGTAAATTCCTTATTCCTTTCAGATTTGCTACTGCCATTCAGCCTGTTGTGGAATGGGCATGCAGATAACTACCTGAAAGTAAGAGGGAGTCATGGGTCCTCAGTAAGGGAGTAGGGGTCACACCTCCACTCTATCAGGATTTCAGAAATACCAGCAAACCCCAGACTGATTGGGTCACTGTCTCTAAAATTCTCCTCTAGTTTTCCAGTAGAAATATGAAGATTTTAAGCACGACTGACAAGATTCTGTCTGCCTCTCTTGTCATCTCTTGAGTCATCCTCCCCTTTGCTTATGATATTTCATTTACATGGTCAAATACAGATGCTCCTTTCACACTAAATGCTCTTTCAGGTCTTTCAGGCCTCAATTTGAGTATCACATTCCTAAACCTTTTTTGACTTTCTAGACAGGGTAAAATATAATTTAAAATGCTTTCAATGTATAGTGTGTTTTTTCATTATTGTGATCATCAGAGCCATAATTAGGTAGTTATTAGTTTAATATCCTTTTTTCTCACAAGACTGTAGGCTTCGTGAAGCCATGAACATGGATTTATTTTATTTTACTACTGTATTCTCAAAATCCTGTTACATAGTGTGTATCTATATATTTTCACATGGTTAAATATTGATAGAAAGCATAATTATTCAAGAAACAACTAGCAAAGGCACTCACACTAGTTGGTGACACTTGGACTGGACCCTCATTGAAAAGGAGGGCTGCAGACCCAGATAGCTTAGATATGCTAAACAAACATTTAAAAATGCAAAGATTTTCTTCATAGCTAGTTTTTGGGATTTAAATTTCCTTTTATGTTACACAGGCAAAACCTATAGAAACATCAAGACTTCGTTTTCCCATTTTGTCTAAATAAAAACATGAACATATCTCCAACAGTGGAAATGTATACTTTTTTTCCTCTCTCTCTTTTTTTTTTTTTTTTTTTTTTTTTGAGACAGGGTCTTGCTCTGTTGCCCAGGCTGGCATGCAAAGGTGGAATCATAGCTCACTGCAGCCTTGAATTCATTTGTTGAAGTCATCCTCCCACTTCAGCTTCCTGAGCAGGTGGGATTACATGTGCACACCATCACACCCAGCTAATTAAAAAAAAAAATTGTAGAGGTGGGGTCTTTCTGTTTTGTCCACAGTGGCTTTGAATTTCTGGATTCAGGGGATCCTCTTGCCTTGGCCTCCCAAAATGCTGATATTACAGCATTGAAAAATTACTTGAACCACTATGCCTGGCTGAAAAATTAATTTCTCTAATGGCTTATAAATGCAATAAAATCACTGTATATGTGACATTATTCATTAATTCAAAGGAAGAAGACAAGTCAGACATGGCTCCTGTAATGTGACATCCTCGAGAAAAATGACAAAGTTTTTCTTTTAAAAACTCTCAACAATATTCGAGCAGACATGGCATTTACATAATCAGAGGAATTAGAAACTAGAAAAAACTTATTTCAGGTGGCCCATGATTACTGAATCTGAAAAAACAATAAAATCATGCAGCATCAGATTAGATATCACAGAAAACTAGATCAGTGGATTGGAAGAGCATTTCAAGAAATAATCATAGAATGCAAAGAAAGAAAAAGAGGAGTTATTACAAGGAATGGTGCATATACAACATGGGGAACCAAGCCAGAAAATCAAACATAGGCATAATTAAAAATACATAAAACTGTTTCCTAAATGTATGAATCACTTGAACCGGGAGGAGGAGGTTGCAGTGATTCAAGACTGTACCACTTCATTGCAGCCTGAGCAACAGAGCGAGATTCCATCTCAAAAAAAAAAAAAAAATGAAAAGAAAAAGAAAATCCAGAAAAAAAAAAAAAAAGAGCAGTGGTAGTCCATCCAGATACTGAAATATAAACTTAAAACTGTAATTTAAAAATTTGATTCTGGTAGAAGAACAGATAGAATGATGATGAAAACAAAATAGCTAGCAACAGATCCCAGTACACGTGGAAACTGAGTACATGATAAACTGTAATCTCACATCCCTACCGGAAAAAATTGTACTGGCAATAAAAGGTAATGGTCATTTAAAAAAAAAAAAAAAAAAAAAATAACCACCCACATACTTGTTTAAAATTCATCTTCCTTTGCTGTCTACCAGAGACACAAATTTAGTATATCTGGGATTGAATTTAAGAATATTTATTTTTCAAAATATAAACATTAAATATTTTTAATGATATGAAAACTTTGAGAAACACTGCCACAAATGGAAATAAAAACTGAGAACCTGAAAAGAAAATTTAAAATGTAAAAAAAATTATGAAAAATTATGTCTAGGAGTTTAAAGAAGACTTGGTCTTCATATTAAGAAGACCCATGAAATACCAAAAAATAAAAAGAGACATATTTTAGTAAATCAAATTTCAGAATAAAAGAGAAAAATTATTCTAGCATCCAGTCAGAAGTTCTCATAGAAGACTATGAGTCGTCGTACTTTTACAAAAGCAAATGCTAGAAGACAAAGAAGAAATGTCAACAGAGTTATGGCAGAAGAAATTGTTTCCTGATGAGCCATTGTTCATTGCAGGAGCAACAGAGAGGAATTTGCGGACAAGTACAAGCTCAAAAGGAATACTGTCTGCTTCCTTCTCCTGAAATTGTTACATAAAGATGAATGTTAACTAAATATTAGAAATGGGTTTGAGGTAGGAATGATCTCATCACCCTGGTAATGAGCATAGTACCCAATAGGTAGTTTTTTATTTTATTTTATTTTATTGCCTTTTTGGTTTTGGGGTACATGTGAAGAACATGCAAGATTGTTACATAGGTACATACATGGCAATGTGGTTTGCTGCCTTCCTCCCTATCACCTATATCTGGCATTTCTCCCCATGTTAATCCCTCCCCAAATCCCTACCCCACACTGTCCCTCCCCTAGTTCCCCCCACAGACCTCGGTGTGTGATGCTGCCCTCCCTGTGTCCATGTGTTCCATTGTTCAACACCCGCCTATGAGTGAGAACATGTGGTGTTTGATTTTCTGTTCTTATGTCAGTTTGCTAAGAATGATTATTTCCAGGTTCATCCATGTCCCTACAAAGGACACAAACTCATCGTTTTGGATGGCTGCATAATATTCCATGGTGTATATGTGCCACATTTTCCCTGTCCAGTCTATCATCAATGGGCATTTGGGTTGGTTCCAAGTCTTTGCTATTGTAAATAGTGCTGCAATGAACATTCATGTGCATGTGTCCTTATAATAGAATGATTTATAATCCTTTGGATATATACCCAGTAATGGGATTGCTGGGTCAAATGGAATTTCTATTTCTAGGTCCTTGAGGTCTTTAGCTCTTGTTCCTACCTTTTCTCCCCCATCTAGTTCTCCTCGGTATTTATTGTCGCCATCTTTATGTCCATGTATGACCCCATGTTTAACTGCTACTTATAAGTGAGAACATGAGGTATTTGATTTTCTGCTTCTGCATTAATTTGCTTAGGATAATGGCCTCCAGCTGTATCTATGTTGCAGCAAAGTCCATGATTCTGTTCTTTTTTATGGATATGTATATTCCATGGTGTACATGTACCACATTTGCTGGTATGTATCCAATCCACTGTTGATGGGCACTTATTGATTCCATGTCTTTGATATTGTGCATAGTTCTGTGATTAGTGCAGGTATCTTTTGGTAGAACAATTTATTTTCCTCTGGGTGTGTACAGTTACCCCTTGAATCTAGAATAAAAGTAGAAATTACACACATACATACACAATAAACAAAAGAAAAATACACCTTTGGAGAATCCCTTTTCTAAATGAGTATCTGGAATTTAACCAAAGATGAAAGAATTGTCTCTGCCAGTCATTACACTGAGCAATATGACAGCAAAGAATTAAGAGTGGCCAATTAAGCCAAATCGAGTTGCTACTGGCTCACCATGTCAAATAAAACCAAATGGGAGCTAAGCCTATGGAGCAGTCTGTCCCAAATGTACATCAGGAGACACTAACTGACATTCAGGACTTGGACAATGACTGTGTCCATCAGGGACCTGCAGAGCAGGAAGCGAAGTGAAGATTCCCTGTCATTGTGCCAGTCAGAGAAAATGATTTTTAGAAATAAGTAGCCTATGTGACCGATGCCCCAAACTATAGAGTGGCTGGCTAATCTTATCATTTGTTAGTGTCCCTAAGCAGAATTTTAAAACTTCTATAACTCTAGAATATGAAGGTACCTATTGGTGGTTGTGTGAATGAGAGGTAAAATGAGGGGAAATCTAAAAGTATCACTGCATAAAGACTAAAATGAATAGGCAAAAAATACGATAGTTCTTGAAGTTTTCTATTTTCCAAATTTCCATAATCTCATAACCTTTATAATTTAAAAATTCAGATAAAAATTTTAAACTAGAAATGAGAAAAATGTGAACTAATGTGAATGTATCTTTATTTAAATGTCAAATATAATGTATTAAATTAGAAGATATGTAATACCCAATAACAAAATGACATTCTATATTTTTTAAAAGACATTACTTTACAGAAACTTGGAGATGGGATAAAGAAGGAGTTAAAAGCTCCTTAATCTTTCTCTTTACATGTGGACGTCAATAAATGTTTACTTTTATCTTAATAGAGAAGTATATGTTAAAATATAATTAAAATTTAAAGATGACCACCAGTTAGCTGAATACATGCCACCTGGACTAAAGATCTTCCCGTGCCTTTGTACTGCTAGGTATTGTTAAGAGTAGGAAATCCCAGAGAGAAGAGAGAAGTAAGGAAGAGCTCCAAATTCTGTGTACAAACTCTTCTCAAAGCCTTGTCTGATTCAGAACTGCACATGTTGGGAGCAAGTTTCCAAGGAACTAATGGGTGCAACAGCTGATTGAAAGCTTTAAAAAAAAAAAAAAAGTGCTGCACAAAGATCTTGGTAGCGCCTAGATATTGGGAAGATGATGGAGTTTAGGACTTTGATTCCCATCAATTTAATGAAATTTGGAAAACACCTCATACTGTTTACGGAACCCAGAGGGCCATAGATTAGAAATAATAATCACATCTCAGTATGAGGGCAGAATAGAAATAGGTTTGTTTTAACAGAGACTGACACTACATCTTCATACCAGCAAGCCAATCTTCCACTAATTTGTCTGCTAGAAGAAATTTTCATACTTGTCTGAGAAAGATAGGAGAATTTTGTACTGGAAACTCAATGGGCAAATAGATCAATAAGAAGAAATAGTGTGGAAACAAACCCAAATAAACATATTGTATTAAGTAATACCTGGCTCAGTTGTATTTACCAGAAAAGCAAAACAAAACAAAATCCAAGATAGCTAATCTTAAAACAGTGGCTTTAACAACTCTGCAATGT